AAGTATATCTCTATCACGATTCAAATCAAAGATAAACAGGTAAACAAGGACGACACTCATATCGGATAAACAATTGTTTTGCATAAAACACAATGATCAAAATACGTACACACGCTTAACCCTTTTTACATGTATTCACCTAATCTGCCAAATGGTTGTGAACATCGTTCTTCATCACTATTATCACGCACCCGCACAATATCGTATTGATCCTACCCATGCTACCCATGCTACTTAATCAACACAATACCAAAGAGGATACAATGAATATCAACATACAAAACTATGTCAAAAGTTTGTTCATTAATAGAAAAAAATCTGAGATCAAAGATGTGAAAAGTTTTTGTCAAGACCCACAAATAAGCAATCAAAGATAATCAATCAATAGAGAATCCAAACTAGTTCACAAACATAAATTAGATGAAATACATAAGATATCAAAAGATTACATTTAAACCCCAACAAGAGATCAAAGATCTTACCTCCTCCCTCTTAGGGTTTTGTGTTTCTCTCTCTAAAATAGATGAAGAGAGATAAGTTCTGATGTCCAAAATATTACATAATAGAATCTAACCTAAAAAGCAATAAAAACACTTAAGTAAAACATTCAGGATCTGTCTTGTTCGCCTAGCGAACTGTAAGTTAGGCATGTGAGGTGCCTCTGAACAGTCAAACCGCCCCTGAGACATTTCCAAATATTCATTAGGCGAGCAACTTCTTCTCCTAGCGAAGCCTTCGCTACGAGCTTCACCTAGCGAGTTTATGGTCCTTTGGCCCCTGCCTCAAGTCTGGGAGTATTTTCTAGAGCTTTGCTACCACTTCGCCTAGCGAGTCCTTCGCTTCATAGTTCGCCTAGCGAACTTCATGATGTTCTGGAGGGAGCTTCGCTAGCAATTTCGCCTAGCGAACTTGCTGTTGTTTGCATGTTGTCTTGGTTTCCTTGCCCATTTCTTGTGTCTTACTTTTCACTTGTTTTGTGCCTAATTCCTGCACAATAACACACAAATCAAAGGTACCAAGAAATTTTCTCATAATGTTGCAAACCAACCAAAACAAGAGTGGTTTTCAACACTTTCATGACAAAAAATAAGTGAAAAATGCCAATATTTGATAGATCAAATAAGTGAAATTTGGCATCTAACATTAAGTCTTTTTTCATCCTTTTTTATAATAACAAAGGGAGAGAATATGTTATGTTGTTGTATGTATATTTCTCTAATAAATTGCAACAATCATATTCTTTCAAATTCACTCAAACATGGATCAAGGGGGAGCCTCGTTGTTATAGAAATCAAAATTTCAAAAGGTTGTCATCATCAAAAAGGGGGAGATTGTGAAGACAAACTTCTCAAATAGTGTTTTGATGAAGATAAATCTACAAGCAAGTGTGTTTGACAAAAATAAGTGGTTCAAGAATAACAAGTTCAAGTCAAGTTTCATATAATAAAGATCAAGTCTTGGATTGTACATTTTGGATTGATCATGAAATGTTAAGGTATAAGCTTTCAACCTCTCTATGTTTATTCAAGTGCTCAAAAATATACATTCATTCATGTCATACTTGATTAAAGCCTTTTTGTTCATTAAACTTTGGCCTTACTACTTATTTCTAAGGCATTTTCTGCTTATGCCCTGCATGTAATCGGTTACCTCTTTTACAGTAGCCGGTTACCACCCTGATACATTGAGTTTTGTGGCTTTTTCCAAATGGTGTAATCAGTTATCCTATTTTCAATAACCGGATACATGTTCTTATTTTTCAAATTTTTAATGTTGATCCAGGTGTAAGCAGTTACACCATATTTGGTAACTAGTTACCAATGAACCAGTGGCAGAAAAATAGTGCATTCTTCAGTTGAAATGAATTTTTAAATTGGCTTTTGAAATATGACATCTATTCATTCATTTACACTCATTTAGAGGTGTCTAGAGGCTATATATACATTAATCTTTAGTTTTTCATACTCAACTTTCTCATCTACAATTCAAAATATTTTTCTCTTCATTTTTCAAACTTCTCAAGTGTTCTAAAATAGAATTTTTGGAGAAACTTCTGCACATAATTTTCATTGGAAATTTTCATAGTTTCATCCACATACATATTTGAGCACTTGTATATCATAAAGAGAATTGTTTGCTTGAATGAGAAGATCAATCCAATTGGTTGATACATTGTATTCTACTTTAAAACTCTTGTAAAATTTTGAATATTGTTGTAATCCTTATTGTTCAGGATATTTGGAAACAAGAGAGTGATTAAGGGAGAATTATTCTCTTAATGCACTTTGTGAAAATCCAAGAGGATTGTTCTTGGTGATTGTGTTAGAGTCTGTATAGGAAGACTAGGATTGTCTTTTCCATAAGATCTAACAATAGTAAAAATCTCTTACTGCGTAAGGGGACTGGAGTACTCTCGGATTGTGAGGGGAACTAAGATATATCGTTGTGTTTTTTATCTTTCTGCATTTTACAACTTTTATCACTTAAAAACTAAATCGAAAAAATTATAAGACTTAAGTTAAAACCGAAAAAATATTCTAAATACCTAACTCATCTCTCCCCCTCCCTTAGGTGCAAACTCTACTTAAAGCACAAGTATTTATGTAAAAATATCACAAAATCTCATAATATCTGAGAAAACCATAAACTTTTATGCCAAATTCGAATAAAATATCAAAACCACAATATACTTCTATATCAGTCTCATTTTTCAATAAATCTTGCATTTCTTTTTGCATGCATTTTTTTTATGAAACATAATTTATTATCTGCTACTACTTTTCCCACATATTTCATCAAACTTTACTCCTTCAACAATTCGTCCTTCCCTCACACTAAATCATGTTTGGTCTTCGACCTTTCTTGCAACAGCTTTACCATATCGTCGTTCTTCCTTTCCCTTAATTGCTTCTACAATAGTGACTGAAGCTTCTGATCAATGAACTCATTTTTATTTTCTGACACAAATGAAGATCTGCAATAACATAATATATGCATGCAACTTCATCTTAAATCTTTTAAAAATTACTAAATCTACAATGATGTACAAACATGATAACATGAACCATTAAACTATCTTTCCTACCCGACATCGGATGATGTTGGTTTCTGCCCAACCATGGTTGAAGGTTGAATATGACAACTCGGTTACTCAACAAATTTTAGAAAGCGATGAACTATGACCAAAATGTAAACCCTAAAACTTTTTATAATTACACTAATGATCCCATTTTGGTTTCCATAACCAAAGACCCTTTACATATAAAAAAATTTTTTTCCAAAATTCCACTATAACTTCCTTATACAAACAAGGACACGTTAATCTTTAACATACTTTATAATTTTCATCATTATTATAATAATTTAATTTTATATTAAATTACTTTTTTTTATAATTCCACTATAACTTCCATACACATTTAAGTTTTATTACACAAAATTCCATTTTTTAAAAATTTCACTTTTAACACATTTTTTTATTTTTTATCACTTATAAAAGAAACTTCTTTTTTTTCAACAATAAATATTCTTTTTCAACATTTTTTTTTCATATTTACCATTTCTTCTCGCATATAAATATTCTCGGCTAGTATTTGTGCAAATGGATGAGTATCCTATTAGAGCAACTTTAACGCATAGTTGTTAAACCAAAATTTTGTATAGCTTACGTTAGTAATAAGAAATTCCTATTATAGTAGAGCTGACATGGCATATAGGATGCTCTAAAACTAATTTACGTGCTCTACACAAGCAACGTACTCTAACTCATTATTTAACATAAATAATATATTTTTATTAATTATTTAACATAAATAATAGACTTTTATTAACCATTTAATACCAAGTTTGAATTCCTTATAAACAATCACTATTGAAGTAAAAACTTCTTAATTCAATTTTGGATTGCTTAAATCCTTCATGTCAATTTGGACTCACGTAAAATAACTTAGTTCATCCAATTTAGTTGCTCCCATTAAAGATGCTCTTAGTAATTATTATTATTATTATTATTTTATATATATATATATATATATATATATATATATATATATATATATATATATATATATATATATATATATATATATATATATATATATATATATATATATATATATATATATATATATATATATATATATATTTGTGAAATTGTAACATGATAAGAAGAATATTTATTTATTCTAGTCAAGATGTGAATAAGGTGAAATCAAATGTAACTAAAACCTCAAACTTTGATTTTTTTTGTTTTCTCTGTCTCTAAAACATGTAGATTCTTATTTATGACGAGAATGAAGTTGCCCTGATTTTGGACAATATATTTTCTTATCATGCAATCCTTATAAAGTTATAGATGATATATCAAATATTAAGTAATTTTTTTCACTGATTTATACGATATTGTCAAGTAACTTGATTGGTTGAAAGAACTTATGAAAACACCATTTTTTTTTAAATAAAGAGATTGTATTAAAATGAGTATAAGAGATATTTAATTTACATACAAAGAGAAAACAAAACAAAAATATTTCAGAGCTTCTATAAGATTGGACATCCAAGCAATTTTAGAACAACTAAGTTGAGCAGAAAATCTAGTACTATGTCAATTCCAAACTAAAGATTTTGCCACAAGAACAATCTCACGATTCTCTTTCATCTCACCATTGAACAAATTATTGTTTCTAATTAATCTAATAGTCCTCACAACAGATAACTAAATAAGAATCTTAAGAATCTAATAGTCCTCATTATAGACACAAACTTAAATCTATTTTAATCATCCATCTAGTGAACATAATTTCTCAAAACAACTTAAATCTAATACAAAAACTATTAACTTTATTTTATTATAGAAATAGTTTGTACATAAGAGTTTATCATGGTTTAAACCTTACTATACACAATGTTCAAATACTAAAAATAATTTTCAAAAATAGTAAAAATCATCAACAAATAGAGATCTCATTGATAATCATATTCATGACATCTTAGTTGTTGATTTACAAAGGCAAATTATACATCCATCTAGTGAACATGACAAAACATTGCTCAGGAGTGTACTGAGGAGCATCATGTCCCGAACCCTACAATTAATTACGAAAAACTCAAAATAAAGAATTTTTAAAATTCTATGAAAATTCTATGCAAAACACTTGAATATTTCACAAAAATATGTATTTTATTAACAGAATAAAATAACGATTTAATTAACATTTTCTTACTTTTACAGTTGCAAATGTCATTTTATTCGAATAAATCCTCGTGTACCTGTATATAAGATAAATTACAGATTAGCATTAAGATACATCTCTTATAGTATTATTGGTAGGAAATGAAAACAAAAGTTTCTCAATAAACTTTATATATTTCTAAAGAAACCCTAAAAAAATTTGAAAAAGTCTATTTGTCACCCTCCAACTTTCATACTTACCCTCCAACTTGGCCATTTACTAACCATGGCCTCCAATCATCCACAATGGAATAGTTTAGATCCCTTATCCAAGCTTGAGTAGATGTAAAAGGAACAACTAAATCATGATCCCCACTGCAAAAAAATACATCAATTTCCATAATGAAAACCAGATACTATTAATGGAAACAAACAATATATTAGAAAGATTAAATCTACACCTGTATATTAAAGAGGGAATTCCTGTTTTACTTAAATTTACATGAAATTCAAAGCTATCATGGATGTCATGTTCAAAATCAGTCGAGTAACAACGTATCCATTTCCCTATAGTTTCCTGCATATCTCAATTATGTACATTAATTTTGTAGTAATATTGATTAGTTCTTGAGAGTGCTTTGATGGATTTAACTTAAATTCAAAAATATTTGTAATGAAAAATTAAGAATTTATAGGTGGATCACATCAAACCTCTCGGATATGTAGAGCCTTTCGAACACGCTCATCATTAGCCCATTTTGTGACAAGGTGAGTTTGAGTAACCTATAGAAATAATAAAAATCTTGAACATTGTTGAACATGACTTATATTAAGGTAATGAAGAACAATATGTGAAAAATTCTAAAGGATTTTAGACGTAACTCCCGTAGGTTAATAGGTACTTATTTAAACTGTATATGTATTTTTTGTAATGATGTAAGCGTATTAGACAGAAATAAAGAGAATTATATTTGCTCTATAGTTATAGAGGTAGATACTATTAGTTGAATTGCGTTAACAAAGATCGATTGTGTTCATTATTTTATTTTTTTTTTTTTTTTTTTATTTTTTATATTGATTGTTGTTCTAACAATTAGTATCACATGGAGATTGACCCTGGTGAAAAAAGAGGATAAAGGAAAATAAGGGATTTGTTGGCTCAAGAAAATTTACAGAAAGCGTTTTGTGAGACGAAACCGACTAACATGGAGGATAACAATTGGGCAGAGATAAAGGAGAATTATGTGAGATTGATTCGCATGTGTTTCAGACATGGTGATGTATCGTATTTTGAACCTTAAGATTTCAAAGGAGGTTTGGGAAAAATCGGAGAGTTTATTTATGTCAAAGATGTTGATTAACGAATTGTTTAGGGTGCAGTGTCTTTACAAATTTAAGATGCTTGAAGAATCTGATTTGCAACAATATGTCAATGTTTAAAATAATATATTCACTGATTAAGTGAGACTTAGGGTGATAATTGATGAAGATGTGATGAGGCAATTATGTTTATGTGCTTGTTACCATGTCCTTAAGACCACAGAGAAGATACTATTAGTCTTTATGTGATTGCTACACTTTTGTCTCGTTCTCTAACGAGATATATTGTAGAGTAATGAACTAAGGGCAATAGTTTGTATGTGAGGGGGGGGGGTTCAAGATCGTGGACAAAATAAGGGTAAGGAGACTTTAAAAAGAAGAGGTATAAATCCAAGAATCAGAAAATAACTCATTGTTATAGTTCCAAATAGATTGGGCATTGGAAGAGGGGTTGTTCAAACAGAAAACATGGATCATCCGGTTCTATAAATGTGGTTCAAACTGATCTTTCTGACAATGAATCAAATATATTATGCGTTTCATCTAGCATGTGCACAAATGCATTGATTCTTGACTTTGAATGTTGTTACCACATGATGTTGCACCACTACATTCTTGTCATGTAATTTTGGATTTGTTTATTTGACATATCATAAAGCATGTATTATCACTAAAATGGGAAAAATTAAAATCGTCATGGTCAACTGTGGCGTGCGAACATTGAACGATGTTAGATACATTCCATAATTGAAGAAGAACTTGATTTACATAGGTGCTCTACAAGCAAATGGTTTCTTCTACATAGTTGATTATGTTTAGAATAAGGGTGATTGCTAATAATATATACAAACTGTTGGGGAACCTTAGTGTTGTTGATGTTGCACCCATTGAGTCTGATAACGATGCAACCAAGCTCTAGCATATATGTCTGGAGACATCTTAGTGAGTATGAGATGATGGAACTTCCTAATATACGTCTTTTGAATGGGGTTTGTAGTTGCAAGATGGATTTGTGTAATTATTGTATACTTGAGAAAAAAGTGTATTGTTTAATTCAAGATTGGAAAGCATAAAATAGTGAATTTTAGACTATGTGCATTCCGACGTGTGAGAGGCCTACCAAAGAGGTTTCCATGGAATACACCCAAGGTTAAGGTGTATTTCTTGAAGTAGAAATCTGAAGTATTTACCAAAATTAAGTAGTGGAAGGAAGAGGTAGAGAATCAAACAGGCAGAAAAATTAATATTTGCAGACATATAATGGGACAAAGTACACAGATTTAAATGTCAAAAGGTTATGTTAAGAACACGATATTCAAACACATTTATCAGTTTTTAAGACACCATAACAAAATGGTATGTCATAGAGAATGAATAGGTTTATAACTAAAAGACATTTGTTAAATTTTAGACTATCAAAAGGTTTCTTTGAAAAGGAAATTAACTTGGCATGATATCTTATGAGCAAGTCACCACAAGCTTCATTTGAGAGGTAATCTGATAGAACAGAGGTATGATATAATATGATAAAGAAAAGTATTTTATTAATGACTGTGAAAGTAAAATAAATTCCAGAGCTACTGCTCCTCAGTCAGAGAAACAATTCTCTCACTGCCCTAATCCTAATATCAAAAAACAGAATATTAATCCATGCCTAACTACTGCCCCATACACTCCTTTTTATATGGAAAATAATCCCTAACTAACTCCTATTTATATGGAGAATAATACCCTAAACTAACTCCTATTTATTTGTGGAGTTTCCTATTCTTTCTCACATATACCCTCCATTGTTTAGGTCCAATAATATCTCTATTAACTAACACATTCCCATCATCATTTGTGGGATCCGATCCATTCCTATCATAATCCCATTAATCTTGATAATTTAAGGATTTTAAGGTGTCTAACTTATGTGTATAAATCTCATGAAGATCAACTCAAACTTGATCCAAAGTCAAAGAAATGTGTCTTTGTCGATTACACACAAAAGGTATGAAGAGGTTAAACTTATGAGATCTAATTAAAAAGAATTTTGTATTATCATAGATGTTATTTTTTATGAGCATTCAATGTTGAATTATTTAGTTGCAACAGACGTGCCATCATCTAAAGTAGAAACTTCTAGCAAACATGTGATTCAGGTGGAACTTGATCTGTCACAGGTGTACAATATGCAGATGCATGAACCTCAAAAGGATTCAGAATCTAATATTAAAATTGACCATGGAACTGGAGTTTCATGTGGAGTACAATATAGTCTTCTATGTGACATATATCATCATTTAACCAAGCCACCAGAAAGATATTAGTATGAAGACTTGCCAACATATGCACTTATTACTACTTCTGAAGAACCTTTAACCTTTCGAGGGCTTCTGAAGAACCTTTAACCTTTCGAGGGCTTATAGCTAGCCAAGAGAAAGATAAGTGGATGGGTGCAATAATGGAGAAGATAAAGTCTTTGATGAAAAGTCAAACATGGGAACTTGTTCAGCTTTAAAAAGGAAAAAGGGTCATCGGTTGTAAATGGGTGTTCAAGAGAAAGCCAATAATAATAATAATAATAATAATAATAATAATAATAATAATAATAAATAATGAGAAATTTAAAGGCTTACCTTGTAGCAAAAGAGTATTCACACCAAAGGAACAAGAGTGCTAGAAAATTATGGCTCTCTTAGAAAAGGTTGTGTTGAAAGTGTGCTAGATAATTTTGACAAGAGTAATTCAAAGGTTGTGAGTACTCCATTGGAGAATCACTTTAAGATCTCACTGAATTTGTGTCCAAAGACTGATGTAGAAGCTAAGTATATGTCAAGGTTCCATATACTAGTATTGATGATTGTTTAATGTATGTTAAGGTTCACACTAGACTAGATTTGGCATAAGTTGTAAGTCAAGTTTGTAAGTTAATTTCTAAACATGGAAAGATTCATTGGGTAGCGGACTTGAAGGGTATGAGGTGTCATGGTATCATGTATAACATTAAACATGGTGATCCTTCAGTTGTGGGATATATTGATTCAGATTATACTAGTAATATGGATGATAGAAAGTCTACAGTAGGAAATTTTTTAAATTTAGCAAGAGGTTCTATTTGTTGGAAATCATCGGTTTAATCTATAGAGATCATGTCAACAAGTGAACCATGATACATGGCAGCAGGTGAAGCTGTCAAAGAAGCCTTATATATGGTTCAAAGGATTGATGAGAGATTTGGGTGTCGAGCAAGGTGGAGTTCGGTTGCATTCTGATTGTCAGAGTTTCACTTATTTGACAAATAATCATATGTATCATACTAGGACCAAACATATTTATGTGATATTTCAAAAGATCAAAAATTATTTGTATTTGAACAAATATTACTTCAAAAGGTTCATACTTCAGAGAATGTAGCTGGTGTATTGACCAAATCAAACATCAGTGACACGTTCAAGTATTACTTTAACTTGTTACATGTTTCTGAGTGTTAAGTAAAAGGTGTACCTCTCTAATTGCTAGGATGTGATCGTCATGCACAAAATTTTCATAGAAATTTTATACTAGTCAAGGGAGGATTATTGAGTACAACTCATATTAATTAAGAGGAACACAATATATAAAAAATCCAAATGGGTCTTAAACCCAACTATTTGTTCTACGTAGGTGGCTAGGGTTGCAAGGGAAAATCTCATACGGTACAACTAAATATTTTATTGTAAACCGAGTCATAGTTATATATATATATATATATATATATATATATATATATATATATATATATATATATATATATATATATATATATATATATATATATATATATATATATATATATATATATATATATATATATATATATATATATATATATATATATATATATATATATATCAACCAATATAAAATATTAAAGAGGAAAAAAAAAGTAAAAAAAAACAATAAATATATCCGATCTTTATTAACACAGTTCAACTAATAGTGTTTACTTCAATTAATATAAAGTATTTATAGTTCCCTCGTTATTTTTATCAAATAATTATGTTTATAGTGTTACAATATATATATATATATATATATATATATATATATATATATATATATATATATATATATATATATATATATATATATATATATATATATATATATATATATATATATATATATATATATATATATATATATATATATATATATATTTGTTTGTGACACTATAAACATAATTATTGATAGAAATAGCGGATACTATCATTATTCTATAATTACAAAATAGATATTATTGATTAAAGTGTGCTAATAAAGATTAGTTAGATTTATTATCTTTTACTTTCATTTCTTTTTTATCTTATATATAAGTGGATAAAAATTAAGTGTAAAATTAATGTAAACAGTGAATGACAGAAATACTTTGCAATTTAGTTCAGGAATTCTGAGATGATGAGATTGAGGACTAAGAGATTCCTTCAAGTCCAAAGTTAAAGATCTCCTCCATATATTGTTATCATCTCGACAAAAAGGACCCAAAATATAATAATAATTAATTCCTGAAATAGACTGAAGATATAATAGTTTTACAGTATGTAAAAGTTAATGAAATTATTAAAATGAAATAGAAAATGATACATTTAAATTTAATATCCTCTTTTTAATATAAAAATGGGATGGTTTACTTGCCTTTTTAAAAGATTGGATATCTCTTAAACACAACACATTTCTCGAATCTACATTTACGTAATCTCCTTTGCAATTTCTTTTAAGGGACTATTATCAATAAAAAACATTGAATCAATTGGAAAATTCTATAATAATAATAATAATAATAATAATAATAATAATAATAATAATAATAATAATAATAGAAATAATAATAATAATACCGCAAAAAGTTCATCCGAAATAAGTCCCATTCCATGAGCATATGGAACTTGATAATTAAATTCTTTGCCTGTTGTCACTGGATTTCCTAAAATATATCTCTGCAAATTTTAAGATATGATAGCCAAGTAATATTTTTAAAAATTTCTTTTTTGATTATATTTTTATGGGTAATTATAGCAACAAATATATTAGTAATTAGAAACCTGAATATTTATCAAGGGTTGGAGACCTTTTTCATTTCCTGTTAATCAAATAAGTAAAAGAATATAAGTGTTATTATAATTCAACGATTAATTTTTCTTAAAATTAGTCATTTATAATTTCTAACCATTTATAATTTCTTGAACAATGGCAGGGACAGGAATGCCAGAATATGAGTCTCCTCCCATATAAAATTCATTTGAAATAAATTCAGGATGATCAATCAACCACTACAAATACAAATAATTGTTGCAAATGATGAGAAAATGATAAACAACATATACAAACACGATCTATAGAGAATGCATTGGGAGTTCATGATCTTCACCCTCCAACATGATGGAGGAATATTAGAGATAGAATATCTTTAGTATGTTTATTATAACAAACTTACTATCATTGTCTTTCCATTGTAACTATCAGCACTTGATCTATATATAAGACCTTCTTGTGTCTTTGTTGAATCAATAAAATATTAAAAGACTAATTCATATTTAGATTTCATTATTTATCTTAACTAAATATCTAATTTAATTTTCATTTTAATTTTGATTATCAATAAATATCATTTATATTGTG